GGCCAGACTACACCTCGGACAGAATTTTGAAGATCTGAGGAAGAGAAAAAATTATCAGAAGAAAGGATAAGTAATTCATTTTTTCTTTGAAGGAATTAATTAATAGTAAATATTTAAGGTTTTGCAGAAGTGCCAAAGTTGAAGATATTAATAGGTACTTATATATTACAGAGTCTCTGTCATAACCACTCAACTTTGCTGTTGTAAGGCAAAAGCAACCTCAGTTAATATGTAAAAAAATGACATGGCTGTGTGACAACAAAACTTTATTTATGGACACTAAAACATGATTTTATAAAAGTTTCACATGTTCAAAAATATTATCGCTCTTTTGATTTTTTTCCCCAAACAGCTATATATGTGAAAATCATGCTTAGCCTTTGGGGTATACAAAACTGGTACGAACTTGGCCCACAGGGCATAGTTTGAAACCCCCGAAATGCAATGTTCTCAAACTCTGGTGTGTGTAAGGATCAACTAGGGTATTTATTTTAAATGTAGGCTTTTCCAGGCCTCCCTAGAGAGTTAGATTTGTTAGTGTAGGAGTGAGACCCAGGAGATCTGCATTTCTAATATGCACTCTACTGAATGAACTTTCACTTGCTAGGTGGCATGCATGTACAAAGTTCTTTGGTGTAGGACAGTGTTTCCCAAAGTATAGTCTGTAACTACCAATTGCAAAATTGCTCAATTTCAGTTTGGATGTAGTTCAGCAAGATGACTATGGTAAGAGCATCCATAGCTTCATGCCCTACATTTCATTTTGAGCCGTGAAGATGATCAGCAGGAGTGAGGATTGCTATTACCATAGGTATCTTGTTGAACTACATCCAAACAAATATTCTAAGTTGCTCTTCTCTAGGTCTGCTACTTAAAAATATCTGTCATATGAAAGCTGTATAGCAGAGACACTGCATCATGCAAAATCCTCCCCAACCCTTTAACTCTGCTGTAGAGATAAACATGATTTATCTTTTTATATGCAGTACATTTATATTTATATGCAGTACAACACTGCATATAAATGTACCCTACCCTCCATATAGTTCTTAATGATGTCAATGATCACAAAAGCACATTTTTGTTCAAAGGTCAAACATCATGCTTTCTGTTTGGAAGTGAGGGTTTGACTTAAGAACTGTCCTTGCTTAAAATGAAACAGCAAACCAAATCCCAAATATATTATAACTAGCCTGAAAAATAAAATCAGTAAAAGTTAGGAATTTAGATGATGGGGTGATAATTAAGAGCCCCCTGGGCACCTGTCAGAATTCTGCAGTTTGGGAGCCTGCTCATGCAGGATCTGAATATTTATCCATGTGATGATTGCTTGTCAGAGGTTTATTCTAAACCTCCTGTATCTGGTGCAGTAGATGTGTCCCCTCCCTTCTCCTCCCCTACTTGCTGACCCTGTGTTTGACACTATCTTCAGCCTGTCTCCAAAACATGGGGGCAGGGGTAGGGAGAAAGAGAACTGGATTTGAAAGGCATGGTTAATGATAGAACTGCTGTAAAAAAGTTAGAAAATATGTGTTCTGATGCCTGACCTTCACCGTGTTTTAATCCCAGACACATGAGGAGATCGGAATGAATACAAGCACATTTTAAGGTTAGAGAACACCTTCTCTGATAAATGAGTCCCTTTGTAGATCTCAAAATTGAATTAAAATACAGCACTCAGTTATATTTTGGGCTAAGCTGTTACATTTGCATTAAAGGTGCAGGACTCAAGCATTTCGATGTGGAATTCAGGACTTGGCACAGTTCATGCAGAGTTCAGAATGGTTTTCTCTGCCTATATCGTGCTTTATGGGGCAGATTTCTAAATTATATTTCTCAGTTTATGTTAATGTCTCTAGCAGTGTGGATGGCCCCTCTGCAGACACACGTACTTCCCATTAATGCTAATGGGAGTCAGAACCAACCACACTGGGAGATAAATGATCTTTCAAATCTCTTCTGACCTTACCTAGAGTAACAAGATTGTTAACTCCTGTGAACATATTGGCCAAATAAAGCTTTATTCCCCCACCTCACCTAGAAGTAGAATATAAGAATCAGAGGACCTCTGTGGAGAAACTGACTGCAGCTCAGAACCAGGAGCCACTACTAGAAAGAACTCTGCTTGGAAACACATGAATTCTACCTGTCAATCAAGCTACCTGGGCACATCATCTCTCAACCTCATCCTTAACACATCCCTGCCTTTCTCTTTTTGTACTGGTCAGGCTCTTTCTGCCTCAGTCCTCCCTCTTACTCTCATCTATTAGGAAATTTCAGTTTTTAAAGTGTTCCTCATGTTTCAGCAAATCATGTGGCTAGCATAGGCAGGACATACTCATTCTACATCTGCAAGTCCACTAAAACTCTCCTGGAAATTGTCCTCAATTCATGTTTCCTAGTTTTAGACATTCACATATACCATTTTCATTATTTTTTGAGTATCCTCCTGTAACAATGCATATTTAGTACTTTTCTTTGTACTGACTCACTTCTTAAATTTATTTTGAAAGATTGTTATCATTGCAGTTAATGAAAAACTAGTGTTTTCCTAATACACCTTGAAAGAAACAAATAGTTAACAAAATTTAAAAAAATTAAAACTGTAAACTGCCTAAAACTATATCTTATACTTACTTGGGTGAATAGCTGTTCACATTTTACTAGAAGGCAAGAAATAAATTATTTTGTTTGTTAGAATAGGTAAAAGTTACTATCTCAGCAATATTTATACCCACACAAAAATGAGGCAATGATAACATATTTCATCCCTGATATATTTGTAGGTTTTGCACCATGATTCAGTGTAAGATGAGCATCAGGGAACTGCACAGTTGGTTGGGAATGGTTTTGTCCTGGGGCTTGTGGTATCACTGGGATGCAAACCCTGATGAGAAATAGAGGCCTCTCCTTTCTGCCAACTCTCAGGAGAGTCAAGGAAGCCAATACTTTCAAGAAGGAGGATAATAAAATACAGAACATGCCTTGTTTCTACCTGTGAAAATACCTTACTTTTAACAATGTGAGACGCCATATATATATGGTTTCTCTGCTTAGCTGTTTCTAATCTTTCATACTCTTAGTCATTTCTTTATTATAGGCTCACTTCTTTTTGTTAAGTATTTTGTTTGGGTGGAAATGTCATAAATGTTCACTTCAACATGATTTAGAATACATGCATATACATTTAAAAATATATAAACAACAAAACAAATATTAGTATTTCTTAGGTGCCAGCTACCCTGGTAATCACTTAGCATGGATTTCCACAGTCATTAAAACAACCTCATTTTATGAAAACATGATTATAAACAAAACAACTACTAATATTTCCTAGGTGCCAGGCACCACACTAATCACTTAACATGGATTTTCACAGTTATCAAAGCAACCCCATGAGGCTGGCACTGCTATCATCTCCACAGGCTAATTTTCTTGTCTAAGAGCTAGTAAGCGGCAAAAATGAGATTCAAACCCAGATCACTCTGGCTTGAATCCCTGCCTTTTAACTATGATTTAAGATGCTGCCCTAATATTCTCCTATATCTTCATAACTCACAAATAATCTATAACAGGTCCCAGCTCTGTGTCTAACCAGCTCTGAAACACTGAGGTCTCTCTTGGTCCTAGATGATCACTAAGCTTCCTTTAGCCGAGATAGTCATACATTAGCAAAGACCTCTAGTTAGAATTGTGCTTTACAAATACTATCTAACGTCTTTTTCCTTTGCCTCCGAAACAGAGTGAACAAGCAGTCAGTCATACACTGATGCTAATGCCCTGAGGAAGTAATAAACAGACTGAAATAGTTGGAATCAATCTAAACATATATTTAGTTCTAACTCTTGGACTTCCAATTTTCTATTTGCACAGTTAATGATAAAAAGACTTCCTGAAATAGTAGTACATTTCCAACTTCCTATGACTCTAAAATACATAATTAGGTAATTTTTAGCTTTCTTCTTTAAATTAAAGTGAAGGCAATTTTTAAAAAAATATTTTTATTTTCCTTCATCTACCTTCATAAAGGGAGCTACAAATGGGCAAGAAGGAAAAATATGATATAACTCATCTTATAAATTACTCAGGAACAGGAAGAATGGGTAAAAACATTTCCTGGTGAGGCAAAAAGAACCAAGGAAAACTCAGAATCAGGATCCGGGTTTGGGTCTCCTTCTGCTACTCATGACCTTAAGAGAACCACCAACCTGAGCCTCATCTTCTTCAGTCAAATTATTGCCAAGATCCCTTCAACTCAAAAATTCTATGACAGGGCAATACATAAAGTGAAGGAAATGCAAATGAAATATAAATTAAGATCTCCTTCTTTTTAATTGTTACTTAGCACTTTCAGCCCATGCCACGAAGCTGATATTGAAATAGTTTCACCATGTGCTTTGCTAAGAGCTTAAAGTACTTTCTGTTACAAAAACTATAAAGTGCCCAGGTTATGGTATGTGGGAATTTTATTTCCTTAAAACCGACAAGGTTGGCTGAGTGACTAAGGCAAAGCACAGAGGTGATGAAAACCTTTTATTAGTATAATAAGCCATATCCATATCTCTGAATAAAAGGGACAGCTATCTTAAAAATTACCAAAGTCATTGTTTAAACAATGTTTGCTAAAAATAGTACATGAGTCTTGAGTTTTTAATTTGTTGCCATAGTGTTCCTAGACATGAATTGCAAATTTATAGAGACTTGAAAGAAATTTAATTAAAGGATTGAAGATAACATTAGTTATAATACTATAATAGATACAATAGCTATAATTCTCAAAATTGTATTGGATGATTCTGAAATAAAATAGCCTTTCAATCATATTCATTACCAGGAGTTTTCTAAGAATTATTAATCATATCATGTTTGCCGTGATGAATTAATTTAGCAACACAGTGATATCTGTACATATTAAAATGAATGATGCCACTTCTACAGATTACATTATTAGACATGAGAACACATATATTAATATATGAATTCTTTGGGTTAGCCATTACCTTTCACTACCAAGTTTCCAGTACTGCTAGCAGTTCCAAAATGGTTAGTGGCTATACAGGTATAACTCCCAGCGTCTGATTTAGTAACGTTGATGATTCTGAGGTTTCCATCTTCAGAAATGGTAATTCTGAAATCAAAGTAAATGAACCAAAAATGGTGAAATTTATCCCATATGATTTATTGCAAATTATTTCTGTCATTCTGTCATCTTTCAAACCATAAATCATTGCTACATTATTTGACAGCCTCATCTTTATTTAGGATATTTGTCCAATACACATAAACATAATTGAGATACGTGACTTGTTTAGTGTTTTTAATATTTTTCTTGTTAAAATGGTCTCAATAGTCATTTGGAATAACCATTATAAATATTAAATAGGTTGTGACAATTTCTCTTTCAGAGCTCTAACCACATTAGGCAAAGGGAAGGCTTATGGTAGATCACCATTAGTCTTAAAACTGCTAATGAGGAATAAGAAAAAAAATCCCTTGATTAATCAATTTAAGCATTTTCATTGAAAGTACTTTTTTCTAAATGAGAGGCTTAAATTAAATGAGGTATTATTAACCATATTCATTTCTAAAATATGTCAGCCAATACATTTTTAATGAGACGTAAAAACTGAACTTAAAAAATTAAAATATTCCACAACTCAGTGTGACTTTGGCAGAATAGCAAATGTGGACGGCAAGCCTCAGGCCTTACAAATAGGGTCAAACATCTACTTTCTGCAGGGAAGAAAATGTTTTTGTTGACCGATGCAAAATCTGGAAGAGGAAGAATTTTAAAGAACTCTATTTTCAACACTGCTACCAGAAGAGAGTAGGAAAACACAAAGATAAATAAGACAGACAGCTTGGCTTAGAGGCTTGTCAGAGAAATAAAAAAATGTACACAAATAGCTCATTTAAGGTAAATGTCTATTACATTTCTCTTATATTTCAAATCTGCCCACATCTTTCCATCTCTTCCGCTCCCTCCTTCCCACCTAGTCTATCAAAACAGCCTCCTAATTGGTCTGCCTGTTTCTACTCTTGTCCCTCAAATTTATTCTTCAGTCAGTGACCAGATGATCTTTTAAGATTTAAATCAGATTATATCACTCTCTTGGCTTAAAGCTACATCCTTGGCACTGCCACTGCATTCTGAATAACTTTCTCATTAGAGCTTTATTGTAAAGCCTAACGGATCTAACTTTTTAAAAAGCTTCTCTTGCTTACTGTTTTGTTCTAATACTTCTACCCTTCAATGAGCTCGAGTCACAGTGCTGTTCTGCATGTTACTAGAGTATCTGAAATATTCTCACTTCAGGTCCTTTGCACTTGCTGTTCTGCCTGCTTTGAACATCACTTCCCTGTATGTTGACATAGCTGTCACCTTCTCACCTTCCGGATCTCAGTGTAGAGGTAGCTTTTCCTTATAGATCTTTCCCAATTCACTGTTTAAAGTGGGTCTCCATGTCTCCCTGTCTCCCTGTTTTCATGTAGCCACTTTATTTTTTCCCACTAAATTCAATCTGGAAATTTTATTTGTTTGCTTGTTAGTTGTCTTATCGCATAGAATGGTAGCGTCTCTGAGGGCAGGGATGGTGTTTGTCTTACGACTGAACCTCCTGGGTCTAGGACACAGGATGGCATGTAGTAGATACTATAAATATTTAAATGGATGAGTGAATAAGTGAATAAATAAATATCCTAAAGGAAAAATTGATGGGAATTCAGAGTGGCTGAACCACTTGGCACTAGTGCTAGACTTAACAGAGTCCTTTCAAATATCTGAAACAAGGGGGCTATGATGGGCAAAGCCTCACTTCGTAGAACTTTTGAGTAAGCATTTAAAAAACACAGGTGAAGGTGTAAATGCATGGATTTGCAAATGCTGCATATACATTTGTGAAGGCTTTTGTGGATGGAGAAGCTATAGTCTTCCTGAGGACCCGGTCCAGATCTATTAGTCAGGCTGATGAGAGCGTATGAAGGTGGAAGAACTCTAAAAAGAATTTTGGAATCAAAGGATTGGGAGTTCACATTCCATTGCTGTTGGTTCTAGCTGTATGGACTAAAGGCAACTTGCTTCACTTTGTTTTTACTTCCTCTTCCATAAAATACAAGTAACCATGTCCATCTTACAGATTGATAGCAAGAATTAGATAAGATAGGATCAGTAAGATTCCTAGATGTTTCCTGATACATATTTATTAGGCAGTGGTTCTCTTTCATCTTTAAAACTGTGTTCACTAGGCTGGGTATTGTGGCTCACGCCTGTAATTCGAGCACTTTTGGGGGCTGAGGTGGAAGGATCACTTGAGCTCAGGAGTTCAAGACCAGCCTAGGCAACATGGCAGAACCTTGTCTCTACAAAAAAATACAAAATTAGCCAAGTGTGGTGGCTTGCGCCTATAGTCCCAACTACTTGGGGGTGCTGAGCTGGGAGGATCACTTGAATATAGGAGGTGGAGGTTGCAGTGAGCCAAGATTGCACCACTACACTCCAGCCTAGGAGACAGCATGAGACCCTGACTCAAACAAACAAACAAACAAAAATTGTGTTCTCTTAGTCATTTGTACAGATAGGCAAAATTGGATAACATTCTTTTAATATATTTTCTTTTAACATAGTAATTAAATAAGTCTTCTTTTTATACTTTGACTGTTATTTCTAACAATCTGAAATCAATATACCAATTAATGGAGTCATCCCTAATCAAGGTACAAGATGCAGACAGGGCACAAGGGCACGTGTGGTTGGGCAGTTTGTAGTGGCTGGCGGTACCTATGCTGCTTTTTGGTAGAGCTCTGGCATGGGATGCCTTGGCCTTGCGGCTGGGGTGAGCCATGCCCCTGGTGGAGGCAAGGGAGCTGAGCTGGAGCCTCGGCCAGTGAGGTGCTAACTCCTAGGCTGACCATTGCTGCTGAGGGATTTGTGGGTCACTATGTTTTGCAAACTTGGAAGCATAAGAGCCTGAGGTAAAACATCCCTGTTTTTCAAAGTCTACTGAAATCCGCCCTCAGTGATATCTATAGAGGTATCTGAATCCAAAGTGACAAAATGAGAAGCAGAGGTGCAAGTCCTCCTGCCAATAAAGAAAGAATAAGAGATGCTCATCAAAAAATTACTCCCTTAATCACTCAGGTAAAGGAGAATGTTCTCACATAGCTGCCAAAATCTATGAAGCTAAACATTTACTAGCAGATTAAGGTTAAAGTTATGTAAATGTATGATGAATTTTAAGTTCTTAGTAGTTTACATATATGACTACCAACTTCTTATAATAAAATGTCTCAAAGCTACAATTTAGAAAAATGATTTAGCATAAGCCAAATCAAAGCTCTGGCTAAAAAAAAAAAGACAGACAAGAGGCCTTTTTTTTTCATTTACATCACAGATACACACATAACAGTTGCTCAATAAAGACCATCTGATACCTCATTTGGCAATAAGCAGATGCACTGACAAAAACAGAGTGGTGAACAAATCTTAATTACCTCAATAATAACAAAAATAGCTTTAAAGGAGTTAGTCACATTCCATTTATAAAATAATTTGCTAGAAATTGTGAAATGTTAGCATATGAGAATTCAATATGTAAGGTGACATTTGTGTTTTACTTATGGACTTATCTTCCATGAGGTAACACTGGCCTGGAGCATATTAAACATTCTGAGGGGTAAGATGACTTTCAAAGCAAAAACACCTATTAATAAATTATACCATTAAAAATAGTATCATGATCATTCCCAAAACCTAAAGCCAACACCTGTATCAAACTCTAATATACTGAAGGACATGAATACGGAAACAAGTAAAGGGTTTGTCATCAGATGACTTGGTTTCTAGCCTTGACTCTGAAACTTGTCAAGTATATGGCGTAGCCAAGTTACTTATGCAAGCTCTGAGACAGAGTTTCCCAACCTTGGCACTGGCGACATTTTGAACTGAGCAATTCTTTGTCCTGGGGAGAATGCTGGGCAGCATGCCTAGCCTCTGCCCACTGGATTCTTATATCTCTAACCCTTCCCCAAGTCATGACAATCAAAAATGTCTCCAGATATTGCCAAAGATACCCTGAGGGTCAAAATCACCCCCAGTTGAGAACTACTGGTCTAATTCAGTTTTTAAAATCCCTTCTTCTATAATGAGATAAGATACCTGAAAAGCTCCTTTAACTCAATGTGCTCTACACTCTTCAAATGTTTTCCCCACCATCATTACCATTCCTGCTTCCTACTTTTGGTAACTGTATTGCATAAAACCCAGCTAGCTTTTAACAGTCTTAGTACAAGGCTTTCTTTCCCCGTTGTCCTTAGAGATTCCCTACTCAATTTCCTATAGACCTCATGAAATTACAAAATAATTTTATAAAGTATTTACTATTCATTTGAAAGATTTCAGTGCCTGATATTGGTTTACAGTCTTAACTCTCTAAATGTTATTTGCAAAGAGGTAAGTAAAATAAGGAAGACCCTGTTAGAATTACAGATGAGAGAAGGACAGTGAGGGAGATTATCTGTAGAAGGGATAACTTTCAGTAGCCTTCATTAGATCACATCATATTGCTGTGATTATTTATTCTTCCTATTATCTAAATGTGGAAGTAATATGAAGTTTGGTAAACGATTCTTTCGAGAAACTCAACAACTTTTTTATACAGCACTATAGTGTAGTAATTAACAACATAAACTCTGCAACTAAACTGTCTAGGCTCAAATCATGCTTCTACTACTTAGGAGCTGTGTGACTTTGGGAAAGTTAACCTCTCTGTACCTAAGTTTCCTTATTTGCGAAAATGGGATAAAAGTAGCTACACATATCTCATAGAGTTGTTGTAAAGATGCACAGTGCGTAGAACAATTCCTGACACGTAAAATGCACCAGGGAGGACAGGTGTGTGGGCATATGTCACTGAGACCCTCATTAATAGACCAGAGTTAGCCACATGTTCTATTAAGTGAAGCTCTGTGCCTTCCTTGACCCAGATTACAAATCCTTTGTAATTGTTTCAGGCAATTGCAAAGGATTGTGTTAAAGCTAAGACAACTGATGAGTAGTTCTGCCACTCTGAAGTTCTACAGCACATTATTATGCCTCACAAAGCACACAGGTGACACCAAATAGACACAGAA